AACAACGTGTCAGCCATGTATGTATCATTCATATACGATATTAAAAAAAGGCTAAAGGATACATTTCCTTAAATTTTGATCTTAAGTTAAGCAATTTCAGTTAAAAATAGTGTTAAAATAAGAAATTTTAAGGAATTTAAATATTTTCAATAGTATAGGCGACATTCTCGTATAAATACGAAATTTAATATTTTATATCTTTCTTGTACAGAAAAAATGTCTATTCTTTGTGTTTTCATACTTTAAACGCACATTTAATTACAAAATTAGAGATACTACTATATATTACTCATTACTATATAATATAAGATATTACTATATAATGGTTTTTAAAAGGGTAACTATAAAGCCACTAATAAAAAAATTTTACCTATGTTGAGCATAACACTACTAAATACCTAGTTTGGGTTTTAATCCAGGCAGACGGGCTAGTTGCATGTTTGGTTCCGTGTTTTCCCCCATGTGAACATGAATATGAGCCATTTTCCCTCAGGAAGTCCTCCAAGAAGACATCCCTCCTTTTACACTGATAGTCGTCATGGCTTTACCATATTCAAGTAACCTATCTTAACCGATGTGGAAGCATTAATCCCCAAAATAAGGAGCTCATTTGAGCAATTTTAATACTTTTTAGCATTACTTTTAACAGCCACGCAATTAAATTTGTTTAGTTTGCTGTTGTATTGAAAAGCCTTTCGTTTGATCTTATAGTGTGAGCATGTAAAATTTTTTACATGCTGAGTTCAATATTATTCAGCACTGACTAATAGCGGAAGAGGAGGAGAAGAAGAGAAATGGGAAGGGTATATATTACAAGAATTTGGGGTTTGGTTGGTAGCTGATGACGGTACTTACCTGAGTCGGCAGTTTTCCTCCGGCTTAATGTTGAGACCACAGTAACTTTCCCAAAGTCCTTGGATTTGACTGTGATACTATTGACTATATACATTTTCCACCAAAAGTTAAAGAACATCATATTTTTTCTGTCTAATTTGAGAATGAAGCAACATAGAAACCAGAAATTTAGAGGACGTGTTCACTAAACAATTCTTTAATAAATGCGACATGCGACATACAATGTTTCTAAAGTTCAACACAAACAAGAATTACAACAAAAGATTGCACTTTTGGTAGAGAAATCTAGTCTTGGAGAAACAGAATATCACAGTTTTTGAGGGAAAATGGGGTGGTAACATTATAAAAATGGGTTCTAATAAGTAATGTGTCCATCCTTAGCTGAAATACATTGGCGGCAGCGACGTCCCATGCTGTCAATTAAGTGTCAGTAACATGAGAAGCAACGAGCAGACAGGGAGTAGTCCTTGTTCAAGCTCATCTAACGACCTTGGAGGAGAACTTAAAGCAGCAATCTGTCTCCCAAGGTAGTCTCAAAGATGCTCAATCGGATTCAGGTCTGGGGATTGAGCTGGTCATTCCATCCGCTCCATACCGTGATCCTCAAGATATTCTTCAGCAACTCGAGCTCGGTGCGGTCGCGCATTGTCGCCCATTAGAATAAATCCAGACCAACAACAGCGGCATATGGATGGACATATTGATCAAGGATCTCGTCTCGATATCTCACATGGGTAAGAGTTCCTCCATGGAACACATGCAGGTCAGTTTGACCACCGAGAGGGATCCCAGCCCAAACCATTATTCCATCACCTCTGTAAATGTGTCTTTCTACAATGTGGGATTGGTTGCATCTGATGCGTTGTTCCCTCCAGATCAACAGACGACCTGAATCAGTCTCCAGCGTGAACCTGAACTCGTCTGTGAAAAGAACAGATGCCCATTGTTGACTGTTCCAGGAGACGTGTTCTCTTGCCCAACATAAACGGGCACCTCTGTGTCCTCGGGTTAAGGGGACGCAAACAACTGGTCGTCTTGCATACAAATCTGTATTGTGAAGACGTCTGCGCCCTGTATTAGCTGAGATTATTGTTCCTGTTGCCACTAAACGATCTGCCATGGGCTGAGGCAGAGTAATGTTACTCCTTCTTCGGGCCAAAAGAGATAAATAACGGTCTCACACAGGTGTTGTATCACTAGGTCTGCCTGGAACATGTTTTTTAGACACAGAATTCTAGGATTCAAACTGATTCCATAGTCAGTGGACCACACTACGAGAGATATTGAGACGTCTAGCAGCATCAGCTTGTGACATCCCCATTTCTATCCATCCGATCGACCGCCACCTCAACGAATCGGGCAAACGACTTCTCCTGGACAATGGTAGACTCTACTGGATATTATCAATGAAATTGCTAATAACCATTGAAGATCAACAGTCGTGAACAAAACTTAAAAATTTAGCCTTTTTTTTCCTTCCGAACTCCTATATAAGTATTCCCTTCTATAAAATAAAAGTGGTAGCTATTGTTTTTGTATATATTTTCTTATACTTACTATCATGCATATAAACTGTGAATTTAAATGTTGCTGACATTTTTGTAATAGTGAGCCTTCAAAAACGTGCTGTTCCTTAACTTTTGGGGGGCGGTGTATTTTGTAATACAATTAAGTGCGCGAGGTAATTTATATTTTTATTTATTGCCAACAAACTTCAGAAATTTTAAATGATTATTAAACTGAGAAGCTTATTTTAAAACTCATCAAATTTGAATTTTTTTTTTTTTTTTTTTTGTCGTGAATAAAAGAAATACTCCAAATTTCATTTATCAGCCCAACATAATGACAAAATCTTAATTCAAACTCTGTGTTTGACTTCTAAAATAAAAAATGCCACAGCCTTATGGAAAGTCATCAGGAAAAGCTAATTTAAAGAGTCAAATAAAATAAAAATAACAAAATATTAAAATTTAAATAAAGGATAAGGCAAAAAATCATTAAATAAATAAATTGATGGAAAATATTTAAATAGTAAATTAAAATATCTGAGATCATCATACTTGTGGCTCCGCTGGAATTAAGATTTCACCAAAAATTAGAATTATTGGAGTCGCGCTTCGGCTGAATTTAGTTTTGTTCACACCATTTACAGTTATAATTTATGAAAGTTTTTAATTCTCTGTTCTAAACAGAACTTATTTCAAGAAGGCAGGCTAATAAATAGTACAATTTTTTCCCCGAAATTTCTTTCTCTTTTCTTTTTTTAAAGCAAGGTAAGAAATGTTTGTTAGCCTGAAACAGACGTTAATATTTATTAAAAGTGAAAGAAAGAGGTATTAAAAAGCTAGGATAATTATCATAGCGTTATTCTTCAGCGTTTATGCTTATACAGCTCTTTATTTTACTTACAGAAAGATATAAATAGCTTTGTTCTTAGGAGAATAAAAAAATAGCAAAAATTGTTATCATTTTCTGTAAGTATGGTATTAATACTTCTTCCTTCTGCATTTAAGCTTCATTGAATATTTAGAGATAATAGCATTCAATGCCTTTCTGCGTTATAATATAAGCAAATATATCTTTGTTTTCAATTAAAACAGGAACAGCTTTTTCTCTATTGTAATACAAGGTATTTGTTTAATTAGTAATTTGTGTATAGTAAGAAACAAACAAATACCTCTTTTCTGTACACATGTTTTGAGTAGTAGATAGCTTCTAACTTTTAATGGGTAACTTTTATTTAAGTGTACATATCTATGCTTCATATTAATACAGAATTAATATCTTGATAGATTAAAATACTTAAAATCTCATAGAATTTATATTAAACCAGGATATGTAAGTTAATTGGCAGCGAAATAAAATAGCACATACTGATAAATAAGAATTGAAACATATATTAATATTTTAAATTTTAAAAAAAATTCTGAAAGCTTTCAGATTTTATATTACCCCCAAAAGGGCGTTTTTTTAACGGTTTGTGTGTTATCTTTATTTATTAAATATCATGTTCTTCGCACTTAAACCATAAAATTCAATTTAAACGCAATATCACAAAATATTTTAAAAGAGCATATCCGTAGAATTTCCACTACACAGTCTCGCGCGCCTGGAGATAAAAATGTGGTTTTTTTTTTTTTTTTTTTAGTTCAGTGTTGCCACTGCTCGCTTTGAAATAGTTGAGCTTGTTAATCAAAAATTTGTTAAATTAATCAAAATCCTAAAATTATGTGTCTAAAAGACATGTTCCAGGCAGACCTAGAGTTACAACACCTGTGAGAGACCGTTATTTATTACAGAATTTGAAATAGATATTAAAACAAATTTTAAATTCCAAATTTGGGCTCCCAGATGCACATTTTCGAGTGAAGGATTATATTGTTCAAAATTTGATATCTCTAGATACCTTTGTTTTTTTACAATGCGATACACATGCATACATTCATGCAGAGTCTTCCTTATTTATTTTATTATAATGCAGGTCTCTATTACTTGGTGGCGACAATTTGAAAAGTGAAACTTCGTTTTATAGTGGACGACGTTAAATGACGAAACGAAATTAATAGCCCTTTCTGGGCTAATTACCCCTTTGGGCTAATAATGAATTCATCACATAAACGCTTCTGTAGGATGGGAAAACGTCCTCCTTCTCCAAAGTAACATATCAGGCATAAACACATTTGCTTCGCATTAGAAATACGACATAAGTTCCTCAACTACTTTTGGTAATACACTAGATTTAAAGTATTATAAATGACATAATGTTTCATAAGCCAGTATATTGTTATTGTATTAGTTTATTTAAAGTTATCACAACAAATGTGAATACAATTCCATTTATTGCCTATAAGATTCTTAATTTTATTTAAAAATTTTAACTCTTAAGTATATTTTACGTGTCGGAGCACCTTTAGAAACTACTTATTTTAAAGAAATATGCAACAAATTTTGGGTTAAGTCAAAACGAAAGGGCGTGGCTTAGAAATTTCACTTTCAAGGAATATCAAAAATATAGATTTTTTACTGTAAAATCATTAACTATACTTGTTAATTAAATTACTTGTTTACTTTTACTTTGTAAACTACATTTATATATTTGATTTTAAAGATAGCGAGAATTTCTCAAAAAAAGAAAATTAACTCACTGAAATGAAGCAATTGAATCCCAGCAGCAGGTACTTAAGATGATGGCTTTTAAGTAGCGGTTCATTATGGCCTGGTATTACCTCTGGATAATTTGCATCTTTTACCCTCAAAGGTAACTTCTTCATCTCCATCTCTACACTTGCTTCAGGTCTCAATTTCTGCTTTTCAGCTTCTGCTTCATCCTCCGAAACCGGATTTTCTTCATCACGCTTTCCCAATCCCATAATAACTTTTTTATGACCGACTCAATCGAAGCCGATCCAATATTTGAATAATTTGTATACTTTTCTTCCCTTCCAACGGAAACGACGAAGGTATGTTTGTCCGCGTTAGCTTAGCTATAGACAGAAAGAGAGTTCAGAGTACAAACTCGGGCGAAACACTTCAGAAAAGAAGGCGAATCTCGCGTTGCATACTGGGAACACTCGAACAGGTGTACAGGTAGGTTGGAAGTGCATTTTTTAGAGGTTCTTATCGAGGATTCGATACTTTCGCTGATAAGACAAACCTCTTTATTTGGGCAAGTAAGATAGTTGGCAGCTTTTTATATTTAGGATTAGTCATCGAAGCTTACTTGATCGCAATAAAATGCAACTGCTCGTGAGAAATATGAACTTCCGACATAGCTATACTATTTTTAAAGTAAGAGGATTACCAACCGGAAATTTTTGTTAAACAAAAAACATAAATTGAAATCACAGTTTCCAAATGTATGCAAAATGTTAAAATTTTGGTTTACAAAGAAATGTCGGTACGAGTTCAATCAAAGAATAATATGGGCAAGGTCTTCATTTCAGACGTCAGCAGGTATGTGAACGGATCTGACTTCATAGTCTTACGTCACAGCTGATTGAGAAAGAAAGATTTTCCGGCATGGAGATGGATGATTTACAACTACAATTAAATTGACTCTCACATCTAATTCAAAGTTAGTTGATTTTTGTCATATTTAATTTCATTGTACATTCTGGTAATCTAAACATACATAAATCTAAACATATAAGCCAATGCAAATACAGTGCATTCACCCAAAGAAGATGACTCCCCATTTTGGAAAATTTACGTTCGATTCGCATTAAAAACTAAATCAGCTCTGGCCATTCTCTTCGAGAGAAATAGACTTTTCCCTGAAGAATAGCAAATGAGTTGACAATTTCCGTTTTTATAAATGCAGATATTTTACTTTTAATTTTACTTTGGGATACTTTTCATCTTTAAACGTTTTATACACAGAATATTGTAAAAAGATCTCACGACCACATATCTCTTGAAAGATTTATAGCAGAATTTTGATTCTTAAGAAAAGAAACAAATATGGTAAACTTTCAGACTGCAACAATTTTAATCACATAAACGTAATTTAATAAAGTATACCAAATTAATATTTTTATGCGAGCCGTCTACGAAGAAAGCTAAAAATATTTTATAGTGTTTGTTGTTTGGTAACATACACTAATTTCAAACTCCTAGCAGACTTGGAGCAATTTATCGCTTCGTCAAAAAAGAACTAAAAGAAAGTCTTAAGGAGGTTTTAAAACAAACCTTTTTATTAAATCAAAATTGGGACAGCTAATGACTACTACGTCTCCATTTCAGGCTATTGAGCAAAATCCAGGAATGAACTGAGATCGTCGTTATGAGTAATGAAAAAGATGCCATGCCATGAATTTGACTTGTTGGAAGCTGTCCATGATGAATTCGAATCATGGAGTTCATTTGTTAACTTTATCGTTTTTTAAGGAAAACGTCTTCATCACTAAATAGAACTAACTCTGTGGGAACTTAAAATATCATAAATTTGCTACTTAGCCCATACTAATAACCAAAGTAAGCAGTCAGGATCATCTTCACCTTTGCTTGTCGAACCTTATAATCGTAATATTTACCTGTCTGCAACAATTGTACAAACGGAGTTTGGGCTGACACAAAATCCGAGGCAACCTCGGTATCATGAATAAATGTTGTAGATAACCTTTGTTTGTTGCAGCTGTAATCTTCTGCGTTCTCAAATGTCGGCTTCTAGGCTACTTCTCAACTTAAAATCTTGTTCACTAGAGAGACTACCAGGCCACTTATAGCTTCAGTTATACATATAACAGCACATTCAGAATAAGGTTTAAACAAATCTTTTTATTTAAAATTTAAACTTAACAATTGACTGCTTACAAATAAAACTCCATCAGCTTACGGGAATTCAGAAACATAAAATGTGAATTTAAAATTAAAAATTTAAAGGTGAAGATCTGCAGCAACAAAAGTCTAACAAGCGACAGCTCATTTCTAACTAAATGCGCGAGGAACTCGGCTAGCAAAAAGCCTAACATTGAATTAAGTAACTCTCAGAGCTGGACAACAAAATATTATAATATGCAGCATAGTCGTAAAAGCTGTTTCTAACATTCAAGAACTCTTCTTATATATAAACGTATTTCATTCACATCCTGGTGAGAGTTAACGAAAAGTAGAAATAAGGTTATAATTGATGTAATAAGATAATGCGATAATTAACATAAAAGTTGCATACTAATGCAGTTTTACTGATTTTTTTTTTTTTTTAACTTGGTTACAACACTGGAAATAATACTAGCTATTTTGGAATGACGGCTGCTAAATGCGTCAAACAGCATGCGAGATTTTTCTGTAACTTATAAGGACCTTATTCATTTCTGAACCGTCAGTATCACGTTGTACATATATATCATTAATTGTTAACATAAACTTAAATTATCTCCTAGGAAGTCATGTAAATTTAATGGAATGGAATATTGTTTAAAAGTTAAATCTTAGTATGTGCTTAAGAGTTGCAGTAAAACTTTGTAAAACAAAATGCGGAAAATGTACTAAATTTAATTAATAAAACTCAAATAATAAAAATATTAGAACAATTATTGTAATCCCATAGTAAGATCTTGATTTTTCAAGGGGAATTAATCTCTTTCCAAAAAATTATCAATAATTGGAACATCTCTCTCTCTCTCTTACTATATATATATGCGATAAAAACAAACTCAGAAGTAATGATCAGCAGGAATTTTGATGACTGATGAATGAAACGACAATTCACAATGGATAAGAAATTTGGCAGTAAAGGTATATTTAATTCAACTTTTATTTCAGTAAATATGTTGCGGCCACCAACAAGTTGGCACATTAATTGTGCCTATTCCAAAAATACATTTTAGATAAATTTGCAGTAAGAAAGAAGGAGCAGAGAGACTACAGTCCAACTAGGCGACTGAGTAGAAAGCAAGTGCGTTATGTTCAGGGTGAAATCTTAATTCAGACTTAGTTTTGGTTGTCGATGCATTTTGATTGGATAGTTAATACTGCTGTAAAATTACCATTGGCTGTTTTGAATTTTAGTTCCATTTACATCATCAGAATTATATAAGAGTCATATGACATAGCTTAGTCTCGAAATGACACAGTGCAAATAGAGGTTACTATTTTTAGAACAGAGAAGGGAAATTAATTTACGCTGCTAATTTAATATTTTATATATTCTTTATTTTTCTTACATATTGCCCCTACTTCAAAGAGGAAAAGGCGTAGTGACAGAGAAGCATTTTTAGAGAAAAGGCTTTAAAGCACTAGCAAATGAAGATAAACGTAATCACAAAATTTTTATCAACTATAATTATTTTTAAATTAAACTATAATAATTTTTAGAGCCTTTTTAAATTTGTCAACATTTCAGTCCAAAAGTCTTTCTTTGAGAGTTCACATAATCATAATTCTTCAGGGAAAGTTTTTGTTACCACAGAGTATCACAAATAAATCTTTTACATAATCATTACTTATATTTAAATGTAACACACATAAATATTTATGATACTAATTTGTCTTATGAATGCCTTATCCACCCAGCCATGTCTACAGCCAGAAGTTTAAGGTACCGGATTCATGACTGCACGCTTAGTATATTACACATATATATATACAAATTAGAAAAACGTTTGCCGAAAGCACAGTAAAAGAGGGAAGTTAAAATATTAATAACTCTTTTGTAAATAGGCAAGAGCAGCACTATTCTAATAAATAATTTATTCCCGATTTACAGTGAATTTAGTTGAAATCTTAAGCTTTTCCTACAGATATAATTTTGAGAACAAAATATATAAAAACATAAAAGTCAACTAATTATAATACAAAAAACACTTAATATCTTAACTTATCAAAGCTCAACTAAAGAATTCTTACCATCAATCAGAAACGTTTTTAAACTGCTATCATGCAAAAATGAAAGGGAAAAAAAAATAATTCATATTAATCACAGTAGAAAGGAGACAGGAAAAAGCGAAATTCGTTAAGCATTATTAACGAAACTCGCTTTTTGCACTTTGTAAGGTTTATCCTAAGTTTCTAATAATTATATAATTAATATAATTTAGTATTATAAGTTTTTAATAGTTATCTTTGATTAAAGCTACTTTCCTATTCCTCCCAATTTCAGCTTACAATTTCCTACCAGAATGTGTTTTTCAGAATCGTGGTTAATGCAAATGAGTAAGAGCGGTATTTAAGTCGAAGTTCCACTAACTTCTTTAGAGATGGATATTACTACGCTCGTCCGTATTTCAGGCCCTTGATAGCTTCCCCAGCTTATTTCATATTTAGGGGCCAACTACTTAGAAATTTCTATAGCTTCGGCTATATCTTTTTAGTTAAGCATTAGTTAAGTTTTATTTTTTTTTTTTTTTACTCTTGAGTTCGAGCCCAAGTGGAGGCTTTGCTGTACGCTCTGAGAAAGGAACCGACTTTTCAATTCTTATTTTGAGAAATAAAGGCTAATTAACCCTTCTTGCGTTTTACGTATCTGTTCCTGAACTAAAGCGAATATTCGTTTACCTGTCCACGAGGTTCCTACACACTTAGCTGTTAGATACAGGTTTATGAGCTCGTCAATTTTTTCAATAATTTACGGAGTTTGGTTTACTTAGGGAGCATAAACTTGCATTAAACACTTCTAACAGACTTAAAAGCGAATTATCGCTTCGCCTGAATAGATTTACAGAGTTTGAAAAGGTTTAAAACAACATTTTTATTAAATCAGAACTTTAAAATAAATGTTCAACTCGTGCTTGACAAACGCAACCACCACTTGTGGCAAGGTAACTTAAAGTAACAATTAAGTTCAAATTAAAACTAAGTGTAGCAGCCAAAGGCTACACAAATAATTTAACGCGAAGTTGGCTCAAAAACTTCAAACCGGCGTAACAATTTAATTTCGGCATCAGTAATGCAAAGCCGAAGATTTATAGTCCTTTCAGAGCTAGCGAAACCTAATAACGTGGCCTCAAGAGGCAGAAACACGCTCTGTCTTGCAACCGAAAACCTCAGCTTATATACTCTCGAAATAAATTTCCATTATGGTATGGAAACAGAAATAGGA